CACTGAATATTTTCAGGCTTTCCGCAGATTATCTCTCCTGCAGCCCTTATGTTGTTATAGGTTTCAATGTCTCCTTCTTTAGGTCCAGAAGAGGGGAAATCAACATCAAACCATTTGGACCACGTGCACGTTGGTTGACACTTTGTAGTTGAGGAAGTGGTTGTTCCTGTAGTTGTGGGTATTGGTGATGTTGTGGGGATTTCTGTGGTAGGTAGAGTGGTGGGAGCTGTTGTGGTTCTGCTTCCGGTGGTTCCTGTAGTGGTGGTTTCTACAATTGTGGTAGTTGGCAGTGCTGTGGAGATCGTCGATGTTGTTGTGACTGGAGTTCTTTCTGGTGTTGTTTTACTCACCAGTGTGGTTTCTTTAGTTGTACTGTGCTTTTCTTGAGTCGTTTTTTGATGTACAGGTGCTGTTTGAGCTGTTTTAGTTGTTTGTATTTGGGTAATAATTTTTTTCGTGGTTGCTGTTGTCCTTGTTGTTACTGTCGTTGCAGTGGCTGGGGTGGTTGTTCCTATTGGGGTAATGGTTGGGGTGGTTGTTAGTATTGTTGTGGTGGTTGTTAATATTGTTGTAATGGCTGGGGTGGTTGTTACAATTGGAGTAGTGCCTGGGGTGGTTGTTACTATTTGGGTAGTGGTTGGGATGGGTGTTACTGTCGTTGTAGTGGCTAGGGTGATAGGTGGGCATGTTACAATTACATTTCTGCAACATTCAATTTTGATCTGGTAATTATAGCAGATTGGTGGGAGTTGATCCTTGTTATAACATATCAGCCCTTCTGTTTTGCTGCATATTACATTTTGCTCCAGCTCATTTAATGGTGTGTCAGGGAATCTTTCTGCTCTGCATTCCACAGCCTTTGGAGCTTTGCATACATTGTATCCTTTGGCTCTTATATTCTTAAATGTATCGAAATCTCCACCATTGATAGCAGACCTTGGGTAACTTACATCATACCATTGTGACCATTCACATAGTTCTTTAAAACAATCATCAGTTGTTGGAGGAACAGTTGTCACAGCTGTTGTAGTTTCTGAGATTGTGGTTATTGCTGGAGTAGTTGTTACTGTTATTGATGATGTAGGTTTTGTTGTTGAAATAGGTGTAGTAGTTGCAGCCGTGGTAGTTTCAGTGGTTGTTGGTGTAGTGATTGTACTTATTATTGTGGTAAATTCTGTGGTGGTGGTTTGAGTAGTGGTTGGTGAAGTAGTTGTAGTTGTAAAAGTGTCCGGAATTGGTGTTGAGGTTATTGGAGTAGTGGTTGGTATTGTAGTAGTAGTTTGAGGAGTTGTCATGGTTGTACTACCTGTGGTTGTTGTAGTTTGTGTGGTTGTGGCAGTGAAAGGGGTAGTTGTGACTGTTGTAGTTTCTGTGCTGGTGATGGATGAATGTGTAGTTCCTATTGATGTAGTTTCTGTAGTTGTAGGAGTCAGTGTGGAAGTTTCTGTTGAAACAATGGGTGTGCCTGGAGTAGTTGTAGTTTCTGTGCTTGTGGTAGTGAAAGGTGTAGTTGTGATTGTTGTAGTTTCTATAGGGGTGGTTGTTAAAGGAGTAGTTGTTTTAATTTCTTTGGTTGTGGTTTCTGTTGTTGTGGTGGTTGAAGGTGTAGTTCTTATGGTTGAAGTTGTAGTTTCTGTAGTTATAGGAGTCTGGGTGGAAGGTTTTGTTGAAACAATAGTTGTGCCTGCAGTTGTTGTAGTTTCTGTAGTAGTGGATGTGGATGGGCAATGACTAAAATCATCACAGCAGAATACTTTTATTTGATAGTTATAACACATTTGGAGCACTCCTTCCTGATCTTCATTCCTGCAGACAAGTCCAAAGGATACATTGCACTGGACAATTTGGCCAATGTTATCAATTGATTTTTCTGGGAATTTCTCGGCTCGACATTCTATATTTTCAGGTTTGCTGCAGATCACTTTTCCTGCTGCTCTAATATCATCATATGTTTCAGAATCTCCTTTATTGTCCAGACTAGGAAAATGGACATCATGCCATTCAGACCATTTGCATTTTGGTTTACAAGGTGTTATGGATGTGATTTCTCCTGTAGTATATACAGTTTCTGTTGAAGGGCTGGCAGTTGTTTCAGGGATTGTTGTTGATGGAGCTGTGGTTGTAAGAGTTGAAGTTGACACACTCGTTGTTTCTGTGACTGGAGATGTTGAAGGAGTTTTGGAGGTCATGGTACTTGTTGAAAGAGTAGTTGTTTTAGATTCTGTGGTTGTAGGTAGTGCTGTAGTTGTTGAAGATATACCGGTTACAGTAGTTTCTGGAGTGGTCGTTTTTGTGATGGGTGTTGTAGTCTCCGCAGGCGTTGTGGTAGCAGGAGTTGTATATTCACATGGTACAAAGCTACAGCATAAGATTTTTATCTGGAAGTTGTCGCAGATCATTTGATGCTGATCCTTATTATAACATATTAGTCCCCTTGTTGTACTACATTCTACTTTTTGCTCTAGTTCATTTAATGGTGTGTTAGGGAACTTCTCAGATCTGCATTCAACAGCCTTTGGAGCTTTGCAGACTTTATAACCTTTGGCTCTTAAATTATCAAATGTGTCAAAATCTCCATCGTTGATCCCAGACCCTGGATAGCTCACATCATACCATTGTGACCACTGGCATACTTCACGAACACAGACTGATGTAGTTGGTGTCACTGTGGTTAAAAAACAAAAAGAGTGAAAATTTAGTACTAAGAAATTCAAGCAAATATTCTCCTTTCTATTATACCAAATAGACTGAGCGTGATGTCAGCTATCAGCTGTAGGAAGAGGGGCTTGTCTAGACACCTGCCAAAGGGCATGAGCTAGTATACTGAGCTCAAAAATATATCAATTTATTAGGCTAGTTAAATTATAATGAATATCCATTCAAATAATGAAAATAATCGCAACATCTGAATTTGTTGGTATGCCTGGATTTATCACTTCCAAGGGCATGGCCATTATTTCTTGTGATGTGCTAGGATAAAGAGTAATTACCACATTTCAAAAATAGTTGCCTAAGTTACACATGCATAATTTGCACACTTGGGAAAAAGCATCTTTGCATAAAATTTTCCATTTTGTGCAGCATGTTTGCATCTTCTCATGAACATTAAGGCCCTGATCCAAAACGCACTGAAGCTATGGAAAGACATAGTTGAATTCAATGTGCTTTGGAGTAGGCCGCATATGCACCTAATTTATTTGTTATATAAATTTACTGCTCATGAACATGTCACATTGCCTGCACTCCTCTCTATTTGTTCATAGAATAATTACTGCAGGGTTGAATCAGGGGTATAAGTTTCCTTATGCGCCCTAATGTGCTTCAAGTCTGTTTGTAAGGGACCATCTCTTGGGTGGAGAGAGTAGTTCATGCTCCTTGCTGATTCAATGCAGGCCTCTCTGAAACTTCTGAAAAGTTGCCAGTTAATGCCAACTATGCTGGCAGTTTCTGTGATGTAGCACTAAGAACTATACTAAAATGACTAACTAATCTCACGTGTGCTATCAAACAGCCATCAGATGGTCATGACTTTCAGGCATTACCAATCTGGGACAAATTGAACCAGAGATCTAGAGGTGAAATGCATAGTATCTCAGTATTGCAGTCTGAGCAATCCATTTACTAACTGCATTTTCAAAATACTATGATACTGACTGGGATTTTAGGAGAAATTAGTCATTCTGCAATTTAATAAATGAATAATAGGGAATGATTCTATGACTGTGCAGATTACTAGCTGTGGACATTTTCTATATAGCAATTTAAAAAGAATAGTATAGAATCAGTTACCACAACAGTTTATAAAATACCCTTGGGATTGTTTTCTAATGAATCTGTCTGAATTTGAGCAAAGATCATATCAAAACCATGCACAGTGGTTTAATTTTCTATATTTTCATGTTTCAATTTGTTTTCTAGCTATGATCAAAACTATATAAAATATATAAAATGCAAAGAAAAATAGGTCTTATTAGTTTTTGAGTTTCTGATCCATTCGTTAGAGTTATAAGCATGGTTTGGTAGGTAAATTTCACTCAACGGCAAGTAAGAGTACAGTGAGCTCATGTATTCATTAAAAACATACCTGTAGTGGTGGATATAGGTGTTGAAGAGGAAAATGAAAATGGTGTTGTGGTTAAGGGTGTAGAACATGCGTAGACTTTTCTATCAATTGTTCCATTGTGACCACAAGTTGCAATGATACACCCGCCAATACCATCTGTAGTGTCGTAGATGACATCCTCATACTCATATTGCTTTCCATCATATGTGCAGTGGCATTCTGTAAATCAAAGGAGAATGTCATCATTAGATTTCCTGTAATATGGAATAGATTGTTCCAAAAATTTCATGTTCAGATAACAGCTGCTTTGTCAACATACCGTCTTCATCATATTCACACTCAATGCCATTCATTGTGCATTCACTGCGGGGGGAAAAGAGAAAAGAAATATGGGACTGAAGATGCATAAAGGATAACCACATACATTTTACTGTTTTAACTGTTTCTATTGCATTTATATCAGAAGGAACAAAATGAAGTTCATGGAGAAAAGTTGTGTGGGTAAGCTCAAAAAGACCTAGAATGTTCTCATCCATCCTGTGATAGAAGGGCCCTGAGCTCTCAAACTGGTGCACTTCTGCTGCCGAAAGGAAGGATGGGCAGGCTCCTTTCAATCTGCAGACAGGATTTGTAACACCATCTGTGCCTACTAACAATACCCTGCACTGCATCCCTTCCATGATGCCACAGAAGAAGGTTTTGGAGGCTGCAGGAAGGGATCCACTGACCACTTCCCCCCAGTGGAGGGGAAGTGCAGCAGGGATGGTGGTGGAGGAATTACTGTTGCTCTTAGGTTGAAATAGCTGCCAGAGAGTCTCTTTAGCTGCTCTGCAGCCTAGTAAGGAGGATTCCCTCTCCTCAGCCCTCAATGGTACGCCCCTGTGAGAACACAGTCCGTTTACTCAGGCTGTGCACAAAGATAGGGATTTCTCACTTACTAATTAAGGCCTAAATTCAGGTACCTTTATTCACACTAACTAACACTGTACTCCGCAAGTAGTCCTATTGACTTTGTGGAGTAAATTGCTATTCAGCATGAGAAGCATATCAGAATATGTCCCTAAGTAAATATCTGTGTAATGAAGAAATCAGTTACAAAAAATAAAACATATAAAAATACTGAAGGACTCTCCTAGACAGATACATGCCAAGACAATAGCAAAAACAAATGAACAGAATTAAGCTATAGAGCAATTTTAGATAATGATTTCAATAATACCTTGTCAATTTGTTTCCTAAATGCAGTATAAAGAAGATCTTTTTTTTTAAGGATAATACAGAATGTGCAATAAAACAGAGAAATATGCTTCAAGCAAATCACTGCAAAGGAAAGAATTTCAGATCATGATCCTTTCCCTTCCCAGTCCCAGAAATAAAAGTGGTTTATGTACTCATTAGTAATTTATGCACAGTAGGCACAAGACCAATTCCTGTTAGCAAACAATGGAGTTTAATGGCCAGTACATTATGTTAGGATCCTCCTAAAATCCTCATACAGCTAAGCTTACCATGATTGACAGTTCTCTTCTGAACGAATGGGTGTTCCTGGCTTGTAATATTTTCCCTTGGTATCGTAACAGCCACAGCTATCGACACACTCCATATCATCTTCATCAAAATAGGGCTTGTTCTCTGGACACTTTGGATAGCATCCTGCAGTAACAAAGAGAGTTATATTGACACTGGATCTCTTACACTGCGGGTGTCTCTAGACAACTGTCTAAACTCTGCATTGATTTCTTGTCAAGGGGTGGAATTTCACCCTTAGTGACATGATGCATATTGCTGCCATAGCATACATTTCTCTGAGAGTTTAAATGCAATAATTTGAATTTTAATCCCAAAGAAGATCATGACCTCTGTAGAGAATTACACACAATTCAGAAAACTCCATAATCACTAACCTGGCTTGTACTTTCTAATATTATTAACTATATTGAGAAGTAGGAATTTTAGTTTAGGAATTTTTAATTAGCTTTTATAAGTAGAGTGAGATATATATAATGTATTTTACCTTCCAAGCCTTGTAACTCATGAAGGCATTTTCCACTTCGGTTCCTGCAGGTCTTCATACAAGGAGACCCACAAGGCTTGTAGTGCCACTCGCATTCCCCTTGCGGGTTGTAGTAATCACAGAACAGAGCTGAAAGAGGGCAAAATGGGTGAAAATATTACATGTAACAAAATGTTTCTAAAGTGCTTCATAGCTATCCATATGCTGTGTACAAATCCCATAATACTAACATAATTCTGCAAGTAGTAAACAGTAGTTATCCTGTTTCTAATTCAATATGATTATCTTAATTCTACAGTTGTATTGACTTCAGTGCTGGTACACTGACAGAACGCATAAAACTCAATTAACTGGAACATAAAATTTTCAGCTGCTACTATGCATTGCTATTACTTACACTGTGACAGATAAAAGCTGTGTGTGTGTTTGTGTGTATATATACTATATATATATATAGTAGGATGGCAGTGGTATATCACAATCTGTAACTAGATAATACAGTAATTTAACAACTAATACAATCACTAGGGCACAGTTTTATTTTAATCATATCTACAATTGGAGATGTGTAGGGAGATTGGAAAAGGAAGTTTTGTAGATAGTTCTATTGATAATTTACTGTTTGCTTTGGACTATTTTGCTATTTTCCAGATTGTAGTGCATCTCAGGAACAGTACTATACGCCTCTTCATTTCTTCCTGTGTTTTTTTCCCCTTCTCATTCTTTATTTCTTTTTCTCCCTCTCCCTCCATGAAGTTATGGGGTAATACTCACGACAGATAGATGGGGTTCTCCATGCAACACAAATGCCAGCCTCATTACATGCTTGAGCATATGAAGCTACCGCTGTACAGAAACATTCACAATCTCCCCCAGTGTCACAGGCACAAGCATCAGTCACACATGCTTCATAATATTCATTTGGTTCAACCTGTTAGAAAAAGAATACATGACATTTAATTTTTGTTCCATGCATTTGTCATCTTGTTTTGCAATAGCAATTCCCTCTCCTCCTAAAATTTCAGTCAAATGTTTGAAATGGATGCTGTTCTTTTCTTTTTCTCTTGTAACATCGTTCCCTATAGCAATGGAACTACATGCAGAATAAATTATGATTTTGGAAAAAAAGAGTCTAAATTGGGGGGGAAATGACAAGAATTGTTTTTAATAAAGTCAAGTGAAGACATCAAGTGTAGGACACGCCTAGCATTAGTAATCATAAGAGAAGTGACTACCCTAACAGCTGTGGAACATTACAAATTAATTGGAAAAAATAATATAATTAGATTAGTACAACCTATCACAACCATCATCCTGTTATCAATTAAATGTATTATCAGAAGCTAATCCTGCTGGACGGAATAACACATCCTGTGATTGTCCCATGTAAAAAGGGTTATCTGATGACGTCTGTACAAGTGTCACATACTTCTTTGATGGACCGGCTTACTTGGCAAAAAGAGAAAATGAATCTCAGTGAAATTTCTGCATAGTCCTCCTGGAATTAGCTATGAGTCCAGTTTGGTCTTAAAGGACCTGGTCCAGCTCTCATTGAAGTCAAATCTTTCCATTGACTTCAGTGTGAAACTGGATCAAGCCCATGATGCTTCTCCCACAATCAAACGTACATGTACATTAAAAAACAGGTAGAGCATCCTTATGTTTAGTGCAGGGAGTGGCAACGCAAAGTGCACCACGAAGGTATTCTGTATATAATATAATCCCTACTTAGAAGGATTCCACCTGAGGATTTGCTATACCTGAGAGTGACAGGCAGCGAATACTTTGCTGTTGATTATGCTGCACTGCTTCTGGGCCCAAGAGTTCCTGTAAGGGTTTGCAGTGCAAGGATCCTTGTTGCTCTTGGCATCTGGGCAAGTAGGAGACACCTTCCAGCTGTTTCCAAACTCCAGCACATCTCCTACCACAGACTGACTTCTGGTGGTAAAGTCATTAATGCCATTGCCATCGTAGTTCCCACACAGGCCACAGACCTGACCCTGCATAGAGAAACAAACAAACTGATGAGTGCTAATAAAATGTATTTGCCAGTGTCTGTGATTAACTGAAACTCTGACTTTTCGGATTTAATGTAGACTTTGCGTCTTCAGTGACAGCCTCACACTTTTCCCTGAAGATGCCTTTACCAAAAAATGTACCCTTTTTTTTATTGTACTGAATCCTGTCTGAAGAAAGAAGTAAAGTAGACACATAATTTTGTTCTTAGTATTTAAAAAAAAAACGAATTAACTATTTTTATTTCATTTTGAATATACCTTATTAGTAATGACCTTTAATGAATGTTCTGCTACTATTTAGTTATGAAATCATTATGTAATTTGTGGACATGAATGATGTATTTAGAAGCAGCTTATCACCCCACTATATTCTGTCACTCTAAAGGATCTATTTTGAGACACCACCGAAAGGCTGAAAATATGCAATAGGAATTCATTCAATCTTGCAGTTACAATCTTACTTATGTTTCACTGCACTTCCATTTTCTCCTTCAAGAGATAACACCATAGTGTATCCATAACAGTTGATCCCAGTCACACAGCTCCTAAAACTCACCTTAAAATCTGGGCTGAGCTTGATGAATATGCTGGTTTTCTTATCCCACATAAGAATCAGCCCATTGTTGGTGTCAATCACCATGTAGATGCCCATGTAACGGACCTTGTATGGCACTTCCCCTCCACGGACCTTCTCTATCACTTCAAACTTTCCGTCACTGAGTACCAGTTCATAGTTCTGAAATAGGAAGAAAAGCCAGTTAAAAAACCAACAGATTTAATATATCTATAACTATCTGAATTATTCTATAGCATTTCTTCCTAAGATATCACGCAATTGCTGGTAGCAAGTTTGGAAGGCTACGAAAGGTTATGCTGTCTGATTGGATATTTTTACAGTGAGATCTACCTTGGACAATCTATTGTGCATCCTACTCATGTCAGAGATCAGATACACATGTTCTTTCCCACAGTTTATCAAAGAAGCTACTCACCCCTAGGAAGACTTTAATGGCCTTTGAGCAGGTGGTCCCAGTGGTTCCACAGGGGATGTTCTCAGTGATCACTCGGAAGGTTCCAAGGCTGGTACTGTTTTTACCACAGTAATCCTGAGAACAGGAGTTATAGTTAGTGTTAGTAATACAAGGTCACCACATGTAGGAACACAAGATACTTTTAGTGGTGTAATAATGCTAGGAAAGAAGCTCAGTACCTGGACCAGTGTGTATTCACAGTCTCCACTAAAGCTGAAGCGTTTGCCATCAAAAGTAATGTAATGACCATCTCCATAAACAGAGCAGGTTGCCAGGCAAGGTTCATTGGTGCATTGCCACATTCTGTTTTTACAAGTGCTAGGAGGGAGAAAAAAGTCCAAATGTAACAAAAATACTTAACATATTAATTTCTCCTTATATAGCCAGATGTAAATTTGATTCAGAATGTGTCTATTCCAAAATACAGTAAACCTATGGTACTGGGAAATAGGGCTTACTCATGCTAAACAGTAATCTATCGTAGCTCTGGACCAACAGCACATGGACCCCATTAATTCCCAAAATTTAATTTATTTTCTGATTAAATGGGTGATATGATTGAGAGCCATTTAAAAACCTTTTGGATTTCAAAACCTCTTAGAATTTTTTGAGATGTATGCACCATTGAGGGACTGCATACAGACTGAGCAGGTATAAAGTTTTCACGTGCAGCTCTAATGGAGATGAGGGCATATAAAGCCCATCGTTGTCCTGCTCATTTACTAACTATTCTTGTTTGGTTTTGGAAAGAATGAAGAGAGCCCGGGTTTTTTTTTATGCTGAATATTAGATTTCAACATTAGATACCAATGCGGAACTAACTACTAACCCTCTTGCAGTGAAGGATCGCATTGCCAACCAAATTCTAGTGCACAGGCTATGTGTATATCTATCATCACCTTCTGTTGCATGGAATATGAGCCCCACTCAAGTGTGTGCTGTAAGTCTTAATTCTGCTACAGCAAAATGAGATTCTCCTCAAGTTTAAGCGACACGGACATGTACCTTTAGGATTGTGAAAACCATAACTATTCAACATATACCTACCAGGTGTTACAGTTGACTTTAATTGTTTCTCCTGGATTGTAGGAGGCGTCATTGTGAACACATGGACATTCCCCCGCAGCTACACAGCCACCTTTGCCATCTGACACTAGACCATTAGGGCACACGCAGCCAGAGACGCACTGTGTGCTGTACTGTAAGAACCATAGAGAAAACATCACTTGATAAATCATGTCAGTGGAAAAGAAACATTCAACTACAACAGCACAGAGTGTGAGAGATTTAATTTTGGTCAGGATATGAAAATGTTTTCAAGTGGGCATAAGGAATTGGCACTTACGCATCCCATATCAAGAGTCTGACAGCTCTTCTGGCACTCGGATCCAATGGTGCCTGCAGTGACATTGCTGCAGTCAAAGTAGACCATGGGAGCTGCACAGACTGCAGGAGACAAAAGCCATAAGACATTTGGGATCAAACACAGAGTTATCAGTTATTGCTACAGTAATAATTTGTCATGAATATGCCTCCAAAGAGCCCTGATTTTAGAGTTAAGCCAAGGAACACAATCTAGTTACAATGCTTCAGTTACTGGTAAATAACCTTCATTTGCTCTGTCACACATTTTAGCTCTCTGCTGAAATGATTTTAGCCATGGAATTGGGCACAAGGCTTTGTTTAGAATTATAAATGACCTCAGATATAGGAGCTCATTGCCTTTGGTTGTAAACTTGGGATACAATTCTTCATAATTGTTAGTAAAGAAAATTTACAACTAATTTACACATTACTTTGGAAACAAAATCCATTTGAATCTTTATATAATATATTTCAATTCAGTTAATCCTGTAATAATTGTGCTATAATTAATGGGACAGATTTTAGAATAGCAGATGCATAGTTTTCACGTGCAATGTAACGGCATGCACAAATGGCCAGTTAGTTACAGAACTGGTCATTTGCATGTTTAATTACCCCCTCTGCAAGCACAGAGATGGTAAGTGTAGCCAAATCCTGCACTCTTTATTCAGTTAAAACTCCCACTGACACCCGTGGGAAATTTTTGTTTGAGTAGCGACTGCAGGATTGGGTGCCACGTCTTGGATAAGCACCTGATAATAGCTGTAGTATTAAACATATGAACCAGAAGTATGGCCAGAGCCCTGGCCATGCATGTCATTAAAAAAATTGCCATTGGCACATGAACAATATTTGGATCTTAATGTTTTTTTCTTCTACTGTATGGAGAATGGAGTCGGTGGCATGTTATACTTTTGGGTTTTACCTAATACCTACTGAAATATGTGATAAGTGCTTTGAACCACCTTTCAGTTGTTAAGAAATACATCTTACCATCATTTCTTTGTTGAAAAAAGAAACTGATTCTTGTTACTGTATTAACAGCTGTGTTATTTTTCTTTATTTTTTGCTTCCTTTTGCTGATTTTCATTTTTAAGAAGTCTCATAGAAATTTGCCTTTTGGAGAACAATTCATAAAGGACACCCCTCACCCTATATTTATCAAGTTACCGGCATCCAGTAATTTTTGCTTTTTAGGAAATTCAGTGGTTATTATGTACTCCTTAGGGCACTTTTCTTTTTTATCTGTAACACTATGACAAGATCTTATCTTGCTCTGAATTAGATCCTTTAGTTCTTGTCATATTTTGTTTCCACTATGTCACAATATAAAGAATGGTACTTTGCATTTCAAAAATTACATCCTCGCTACTACAAAACTGCTATGCAAATGGTTTCTGATGCGTTAATTTCCCTACTGGGTTTCAAATGTTTGCTGTCTTCATCATTGTAATAAAACTGAGTTCACTCAGAAGTGTGAGAGGGAATTAAAATAAAGCTTAAAGGGATTATACCTGGTTCTGGTTTCACTCTCACGCAGTCCAATTTTCCATGTGTGCAAGAGCTGTGAGAAAGAGAAGGGAATTATGTTTGCTTCAAATCTTAGTTAGTTACATGGAAAGCTGCTTCTATCTTGCCATACATCCAGTGTTTCCTATGGAATCTGGAATACTGAAATGCCACCTTGTGGCCAGAGATAGAAAGTGTCCTTTCAACAGAACCGTGTATATTGTTTGCATATAATTTCTGTGATAGCTGTCCAGAAAACAAACAAGCTTGTGCCTTATGCTAAGGCAATACCACCCAGTCAGTTTGTTGACATAGATTATTACACTTAAAAAGTTTCTTCTGTAATATTATTCATTTCACCAGCATTCCTCATTTTAAGTACAGGGAATATTAAACTGGTAGACTTTTTTAATCTGGAAGAAACCTTTTAAATTCAGGGAGAAAATATGGCTAATTGAGTTAGTTGACTGGATTAAAGAAAGACTTCTAAACAAAGACAATCCTAAAAATTCATGAGTAATTGTGATTTTCACACTGAAAATTCTTAAACGGGGAGAGAAACTCATTTGACTTGAGTAGACTTCATAAAATATATATGATTCCATGATTGCCAGTGTCCAGCCCCAGGGTTTTGTTAAAGAACCTCTTACCATATGACACCATTGTCATGAACAACCTCTCCAGAAGGTAGCACAGATCCTTTGTAATAACAAGGACAGCTAGTAGCGGGCACGCATTTGCCATTTTCATCCATGTAAGTTCCATTTGCACAGGTGCAGCCATCAACTGGAGTGAACTTGATGTTGCACGTGACATCGGGCTCACTCAAAGATCGGCAAGTGGGTTGGCAGGAACTGACAACGTAGCTGTACGTCAGGGATTTGGGGCACGAGGTTATGGCTTGAGAGAGTAAAATAAAGTAAGTTACATTCATAGCTTATTTAATGATGGCTATAAATCCCAAATTTTGGATATATTGTGTATGATAGATCCTGTATGTCCACAGATTAAAACTGAATGGATGAAATTCTGCAGCGAGGTCAACAGTAATGTAATTTACATGTCTTTTGTACTTCTACTACAAAATTTACCCCCACATTACTATCTCAGACGGGTACACTAGAGAACCCCATTGCTGTCAATGAGGTTTCTTCAGTTTAAACAAGTGGAGAATTTAGCCCATATTAATTTGTACAGTTTATTTTTTCTGTTTGTTTATTTTCCTCCTTCCACCATCAGTATATTAAAGTAATAAAACTGGAAGCATTCTAATTATATTAAATCGACAGTAAAAGCCTTATGCTCCCTGATATTTCCTTGGGACTTTCATTCAGTGTAGGCATGATTCTCATGAAGCATCTTCTTTAAGTAACTTCCTACTTATCGTTCATTATGTCCCCCGTTACTTATACCCCTTAGATTCTATAAGAGAATTGTTGATAGAACACCATCAAACTTTTGTTTAAGATTTGACTGGGAGAGCCCTGGATTTCTTGGCAACTGGTATAAAGGACCCACCGGCTGATCATTTTTAACCAGTGAATGGTTTTAAAACTTACTGCAGACATTGGTCCTCCATCCATTCAACAGGACTCCTTTGGCAGCACAGGCTCTGACATAGGTAGAGAGGGCAGCACACATGCAGTCCTCACTCTTTTCACAATTACAGGTGTCAAACAGACAGTTCTAGGAATACATATAAGACTCATTAGTAATCACTGAACTGCCCATCCAAAGAAATTTCCCTTTAAGTTTTTGCATTCACATGTCAAAATCACTGGCTCTATTTAGTCTTATAATGGATTATAGGGCCAAATTCTACCTTGATGTATTCACTTTGCAACCTATTGGACCAAATGGTGCTCTGATTTACCCCAGTATAGATCTGAAGTATGTCAATGGGTTTATTCTGGATTTTCATCAATGTTATTGACAACAGAATTTGGCCCATTAATGTCTGTATATTTATACCTGTATAAAAATCTAAGCATTTCCTTCTTTGCAGTCAGTTATCTAAGAGTGTTTCAGACATGCAAATTTAGATTACTTCTCCGCAAGGGAAATTACCCTGAGTACTTGCCAGAAAGATGCCAATCCTTTACAAGGAAGTAAAATAGATGCCTGCAGCTGTATTTTTATGTTCCCCCTTTTATTTGAGGAAAAAAATAGTTTTACTATTTACATCAGATATTTACAATCAATGCAGTGTCATATACAAAGTGAAACAATTAAACTTATCTTCCTGATAGTGTAAAGAAAAATGCCTACTTAGAGAAGGAGTAGATTACATGAAATCAAATTACAGTTAAACCTTATTGTAGCCTGATGAACTTGTCAGAAGCAAATTGGGTGTCTAAACCAGCTCCTCCTGTTTGGTATGTGTTTCTCTTGGCACTTGGTATCAGGGATCAGACTCTTATTGGTGCTATTATAAAGATGAAAGAAATAACTAGCAAAGTACCGTGTGGTAAACATCTGGATTCACTGTTGAGTGGCATTCAGCAAAAGGTCCTTGAGTATCAGTCAGCAATCCACACCAGTGCTGAGCATATTTTTCTGTAAAAACAGAAAATGCTATGAATTCATGTTTCACTTTATGGGTTAAATTCTCTTCCCAGTTACATCACTGTAAGCCCGTTGTGTTCAGTGGAGTTGCAGAAGCATAACAAAGAGTAGAATTTGGCTCTGTATTTCTTCAAACACAAAAAACTGCCCACTCTCTTTGTACAGAAATATGAACGTGTCATAAATTGACTGAAGCTAAATCACAATGGCTGCCTTTGATTAAGCTGGTAAAACTTGAGCTGGTGTTTTGAAAAAGGAGATTTTCAATGTGGATTACTAATGGCTCAATTCATATTAGCAGCAGAAAGAGTGGCTTGTGGACCTTAAAAACTTAAGTTCTTTATTGGTTAGAACAGAAGATTGAGAGCCTTGAACCAATGAATTCTCAGTATGATTCATGACTCATTGTGTGGCACTGGGCAAGTTACATACAGTCCAAACATGCAAAGTTCTGAGCACACCACACCTTCTAGATGGCACTCAGCATCTTACAGGATGGAATGATAACCTCTTCAATGACTCAGTTTCCCCATATGCAAAACGGGAATCTTAACACTTCACTTCTTAACTCACAGAGCTATTGTGATGCTCTAAAATACTCTATTAGTCTTAAGTATTATTATTATTTATTAAGAGAAAACCTCAGTCTTGTCTAACAGAAAATGGGTAGGCAAAATTGGATTAGTTAAAATGAGTCGCAGCATCCTGTTAATATTTCTTACAGTTAAATAATTGCTTTGTTTTTCAAGCTAATCTTCTTTTATGATTTAATTTTTAAAACCATCTATATGTAACATGGAATTTAGAATCTGAATTCATTTCTGCTACCTATTTTTGTCAGATTTGTTTAGTCTTCTAATTATAGAAGAAATATATTATTATAACGAACATACCATTTTCTATGCTGAGGGTACAGGGGTTCTCAAAGATGTTTTTGACATTAGGGCAATCACCCTGGATTTTCCAGGTATTGGCAAAAGCGGCTGCTGTTCCTTCCACTACACCACTTGTGGCTTTGAAGTCATCTGCTTGGATATTGTTGAAGTTTCCACAAAGACCTTAGCGGGAAGCAGAAGGATTTTGAATCTCTCATACAAGATCAAAAGTAATTTCAATGAGTGAGGTCACAACCTGCTCCTTCCTGATTACACTCTTGTTCAAGACCCATGTCTCTGGGTTGCTGGTACAACCTTTGTACCTCTGAAAGCTTTCTCTCAGGACATTTTCCTGTGAATATCAGACTAACCCGGCTACTTTTCCTATCGCTATTTCAGGGGCCCTGCAGAACTCTTCAAAACCCACTGATTGGCTATGCTTTCGACCTCTGGGTCTGAAACACCACTACACTTTTATTGGATCAGAGTAAACATAACATAAAAGTAAAAATAGCATTCAGTGACCCTTCTACTTCTTACTCCCAGAGAGAAAGCTTAATCTTATAAAAGCTCAGCCGTGCTTCCTTTCCTGATCAAAAGTCTAATTCTCTGACTCTCTCTGATCCTGCTGCTTGTCTCCCACCCAAACAAGCAGTCTGGATGGTGCTTCTCCTCAGTAGGAAAGACACATATTAGATAAGTCCACTTACCACATGTCTGCCCTTTGTGGGACGGGTCCAAGTTTACAAAGAGTTGCATGATGGGTACAAGCTGGATCTGAACCTGAAGCCCAAAGTTTGTTTGTACGATGATGAAGAATGATGAAGGCCTGAAGATAGTGACATTGGCTGTGGACAAAGAACACAATAAACCCATTTTTGTATGTGATCAAAAATCAAAACAACTGTCCATTATTTACAAAGATTCTCTTTATACTAAGCTTCTGCTACATGTAGTGCTAAGCTATCACTTGGAGAAAAAAAGGAGAGTTAATTTGAACTGGATCTAAAATCTGGTACAAAGTTAGTCTATTACTATTCTAGGTACCAAGCAGGCAGAACACGCCTCCAGTCTCGTAATTTCTTTGGAACAAGGAGAAGAACGTGAATTTCTGTGTCCAAACAGACTTTGGCTCTGGGAGAATTACCTAACATGATGTTGTCCTAGGATCCAATCTGAAAATACTCAATACACATATAGTACTTGTACTTCCTGTATATGTGGGTAAGAAACTAAGGAGGTACAGATAGAGTGAAAGGCTTTAATGATGAACAATATTCTTGAAAACAGGCAGAAGAGGCATAGGGCAACCTAATGGCTCAATCAGTTGTAGGCCTGGTTTTTGGGGCCCAGTGTATTTGCTTTTTACTCTTACAGCACTAGTTGGGTCTGGAAATATCAGCGTGATAGTGTATGTGTGTATAGAAGATGTTCTCTAATGGTTACATAACAATATCCGATTATCTCCAAACTGAAAAATGCTGAATGAGCAAAAACAATTATTTTAAAAATAAGAGGTTACTGCAGGGTAACTGACTTCAGAATGTAACGGAGAGTATAAGCAAAGCACTAGGCTAGCCAAGTCAAAGTCCGCGAATGCCACAGATGTCTCCTAAAAGAACATACCTGCAGAGATGGGCAACTGGGTGTAGATCGTATTCACAAACACGCTGCCAGAAGGTTTGATCACAACAATCTGACAAGAAGAAAAAGACAGTGATTGGCAAGCAGGTTTAGGAATTGTTCAGCACTTTCCAAATATTTCATATCTAGTATTGTTCAAGATGAAGAAAAAGGCCGGACGCTTGATATAGTGAAAATCAACTTTTCAACACAACTTTTTTTGTTACTATACTATTTTCTATAATTGTTATAACTAGCAATTATTTAGAAAATCTGTATAAAATGTAAATGCCAGAGAACTACCAGTATCTTGACTTCCATTGTCTGCACTGCAGTTTCTTTTTGCTTGATCAAGGTTATATCTTATTTGAACAGAAATCAATGCTGACTTCCTAGCTGCGCTGTTCTTTTTTGTGCATGCATCTACCCCAAACAATACATATGTGTGTTTGTTGGTACAGGATTTGGGATCAAGGACCATCCATGTTCAAATATTTTTCCATCTGGGCACAACATAAGGCTGAACATAGTTCCTACTGCATCAGGAACAGAAGTTGTGGTGAGTCTAGTTGGTGATGGGTAACACTTTTTGCAAGCTACAGATCACTCATGTTTTTCTCTGGTCTTCAGTTTAAGCCCATCCTTCCCACCCACACCTACCTACGCAATAACTGTCCATTTTAAAAGCATTCAGGCCAAAGGTTGGGTATCTGTTTTTACTACGTACAGTTTGTCCTCCACCTATGCTGATGGCTACACCTTTCAGGCATGTCTCGGTGTCAGTTAGGCCACATTTGCGGACTTCTCCTAGAACAGTGAAGGAATCGCTGTCACAGAGCTGAAAAAAAGAAAAAACAAACCTATTAGGTGAAAAGGGATCAATATCAAATAACATTCTGGGTAAACTTGGTCATTGTAAATTTTGCTCATTCCTTCCCTTTGTCTCTCTTCCTCATATGCACACCCATTTACACTCACCAAAGTAAGCTGGCGTAAACACATGCAACACAATGAAAAGTGTCAGCTGACCATGGCATTAAATACTTGAAGTACTCATGAGGAGATTTCAGGAGCCTTAATGTTCAGACATTCCTAGATTAGCAACAGATATTTTTGTGGCATTCTCTTTTCAGTTAAAATTTAACTTGACCTTACTGAAAGTGAGGTTGTTTTATCTCATAAAAAGGATTTCTAGCACACAGCTGTTAGGTGAGGAAAGATAATTCTTTGTGTGTGTGTTATTTTTAATATTAAGTCTTTATTACTTTTTTTACAGAAGTTATTATATATAAGTCAATGACAGTGGTATATAGGGCCTGACTTTTGCAGTGACTCTGATGGACTTTCATTCAGGTACATAATCATTACCACCCCCATTCATTCCCACATCCTGTATTCCATACATATCACAGTCCCCAGTTATTAAGTTATCTAAACCACACATACACATTTTAGATCCTACTCCTGAATAAGAGTTCTTAGTCTTTTGCTCTGAGACTGAACAGTTATGCATGTGTAATAGGAAAGTTGATAGTCAGTTTACATGAGAACTATAAATGATGCTTCTGACATGAAGAACATTTAATCAAGGAAGGCAAACTGTGTGCAAACTGGATTAAGGGTGATAATGGAGGCAGAAAGGAGGGTTAACTTTACTCAGAAAGAAAAAATTACAAAACACAGGACAGAGGAGATTTATTTGAAAATGTATAGTAACCATCTGCAGGTTATATTGAAGGGGTCTGGAAAATGCAATGTAATTCATAAGCAAACCTCCCTCCCCCTAAAAAATAGACATTCCTAATGTATTCAGCTACCTGATTAAGTCTTTGCATTCGTTTATTCTGGGCCTGTTCCAAAGCCCATTGAAGTCAAAGGAAAGAATCCTATTAATTTCATTGGTCTTTGGATCAAGACCCATGTTGAGACTTCCAGTAGCACTAATTAAGTTGCATCCTCTCTAGTTAAAGAATCTGCCTATACTAAGTTGCATTGGCAGTAAATGCTCAATTACAGTTACCTTCGTCAGGATATAGCTACAATCTCCAAAGAAGGAATAACGTTTCTCATCAAATGTGGAGATGTGGGAACCTCCTTCAATGGAGCAAGTCCCAGGGCAGGAAAGGCTGACACAACTCCACTGGCCTCCAGTACAGGTACTGAAAAAAAAAGACAAGAGATGTTTGTTAAGCTTGAGTGACACAAGCTTAAGAAAAATGGGAGAAAATGTGGACAGATGACACCTTCATTTCCCCCCTGGTGTTTTTATCACTGTTTGCAAGTAGACTAACTGATATTGCATTGTGTCAAGTATTAGGGGGTAGCTGTGTTAGCTTGTATCCACAAAAACAAGGAGGAGTCCGGTGGCACCTTAAAGACTAACACATTTATTTGGACATAAGATTTCGTGGGTAAAAGGGAAAGTTACTCCTTCTCTTCATGTGTCAGTATAATAATGCCCGCATCTCTAATTTACACTCCATGCATCTGAAGAACTGGGTTTTTTACCCATGGAAGCTTATGCCCAAATAAATTTGTTAGTCTCTAAGGTGCCACCGGACTCCTCATTGTTTTTTTGATATTGCATTAAAAACTCAATATGAATAAGGGAAAGGCATCTCCGTCTTCATGGTAATGATGTTTTAACCTAAAGCTATTCATTGTAAATCTTTGGACCAAATTCAGCCCTTGTGAAAGTGGAAGCAATTCTATGGAATACCAAGGAATTTTTCTCATACTGAATTTGGACTCTTACCTTCATTAGCATGAGACAAAATTCAGAGCATGTTAAATAATTCTTTACAAATAATAAATTTTGTGTTTTTATATACATATACACATATACATACACTGAAGTAATATTTAAGCAGCTACGGGGAAGCCATCAATTCACATCCAGAAGCTGTTATATGTGTACACATAATTTCACTATCCATGTAATACACTGTGTCTTCAAATTTAAAATGGTGCTTATATAGAACATGCATATTTCATGCTGGAGTCCACCACTGGATTTACCATCAGATTAGGCGTGAATAAAGACTGGGAGTGGTTGGGTCATTACAAAACCTAAACTTAATTTCCCCAATACTAATTTCTCCCTACTGTTACTTACACCTTCTTGTCAACTGTCTGTAATGGGCCACTCTCTTATCACTTCAAAAGTTATTTTTCCTCCCTTGGTATCCTGCTGTTAATTGATTTATCTCACTAGACTGACCTCACACTTGGAAAAGCAACCCCCATCCTTTCATGTATTTATACCTGCTCCTGTATTTTTCATTTCATGCATCTGATGAAGTGGATTTTAGCCCACGAAAGCTTATGCCCAAATAAATTTGTTAGTCTCTAAGGTGCCACAAGGACTCCTCGTTGTTTTTGCTGATACAGACTAACACAGCTACCCCTCTGAAACCTGTCACTGGATTTATGTTACTGAGGGCTGATTTGAGCATTCAGTGACTGGATTTGATCATATTGTTAACGTGCCTGGGTTTGAAAATGAGATTACTCTTGTCTAAATTCAAGTTTTTGTTCTCGTGTACAGAAAGAAACCAAGGAGATAAACAACTTCAGTAAGTATTTTAAGCCAGAAGCTTCAGACTAATATATTCATTCCCAACCCCTGTGTAATCAGTGATTTCTTGCCCACTGCCAACAATTATTAGGTAATGCACAAAAAAAGGAAAAGATTTGACAAAAATAGTAGGTTACCATGAAGTGCACTGGGATGCAAAAGAAGCACCTGGACTATACGTTTCACCTTTGTAGGTACAGTGGCACTCGCTGAGAGGGATACAGCCAGAGCTGTTAATGTCATCAGACACGGTTCCTAGAGGAAGAAATAGTAAGTTATTCACTTTGTCATGCTTTCCATGTTGTTTCGGAGCACAGCTGTAGAAGACATCGTAAAATATGTTGTGTTTCTTTTTTTATTACAGATGAAATGCAAAAATAAAAAGCATTGTAATAATGGAATCTCTGCTATCTACTGACTGCTGCGGCTGTGTAACCAATCAAAGAGTGGCAGAAATCCTAGAGCTCCTTCACTCTGTGATACTCTGGTAAGTGCCTTGGTGAGATGGGCCTTGCTGATTTGAATTGCAAGATGACAGAGTGACAGGATGTAATGGAGCAAACATCTATAAATTCACATGGGGACCCATTTGTAGTGTAAACACTATACACCCTAAAGCAAGCACATAGTAGTCTCAGGGAGACTAGTTAATTTATTCTGACACGAGATGAGGACACGAGGGAGCACCACATGTGACCACACGTAGCATGGGCTGAAGAGCAGGGATGGGAAATATGATGAAGATGATAAATTCACTCCAGTCAGCAAATATTCTCAGCACGAGAACTTAGTTTGCATGGAGATAGCAGGCAGTTACTGTACCTACAATTACAAATTAATGTCCATTTATCATGCATAATTCCTGAAAATGGCCTGATCTTACAAACTGCTGAGTGCTCCCAACTCCCAGTGTTTACAGAGGGAGAGGAGGACAGGCAGCACTCCACAGGAAATGTTCATCACCTTGGAGGATCAGGCTCAAAGTTGCTAATGTCAGGAAACATTTTTGTGGGCAAAAGGTGAGTAAATGTAATCTACTTATTGTACACAGTGGCTAAGGAAGCTGCCAGGTTTAGAGAGTTCCATCTCTAGTATGCTGTCATATACTAATTTCAGTCACTTTTTTGGCACATCAGATGCATGTCCTGAATAAACCCCTGTCATCTGAAAGGGTGTTTCCATTAACATAGATAGAAACTATGTACATGTCTCAAGGAAAGAACATGGAACTTCCTGTAGCTGTGGAAAGAGCATTAAAAGATATAATGTATCCAAGGAAAGCTGCTAAACCTGTACATGTAAATGTGCTGGTGCTTTCGAATACGAGAAAAGGAGATGAATATAAACTTGCCTGGGGGGCAGACGCAGCCATCGGTACAGTGATCTTCACAGAGGGCTGACCTTTCAGGGTTGGTGCAGGTGTTAGCACAGGGGGAGCCACATTCCTCGTGCTGCATGTTATAAGGGCACGTCTTGTCTGAAAGTAGAAAAAAGGATAAAGAGTTCTTAATTTAATCCCCATGTATTGACTTTTCTCATTTAAACCATGGAGAGGTGACATCTGTATCTGATGATGAATTCCTTAGGAGATGTGCTGATATCTGCAATTTGTTATTGAGTCCTCTGGGGAATACTGGCATCCCCGGTCACTGCAAAATGTTTAAAACCTTTAATTCCTGTAAGGCCCTGATGCACTCAGGTTGAAATTGACTTTGTGAAAAGTATGGTATATAGGCCTTTTGAAAGCTGTCCGCACAGGAGTAGATTTCACACTATTGGAATTTGTTGGTGACTAGTTGCAAGCATAGGAGAAAGCATCTTCTTGAGATACTTACTGCACAGTTCTTTAGTTCTCCAGTTCAGAGGTTGTCCACCGGCATGGGCGCACTGCCGGGAGTATTCAGCAAAGGTGTTACAGATGCAGAAATCACGCATAGACTCATCACAGCGGCACAAGTCTTGTACGCAAGAGTCAATGTAGTCTTGAACGTCCACCAGTGCATTGCAGCTCACAAATGCTTCACCAGTCAATACTCTCTGGCAGATAGCACTCTAGAAGTGAAAATAGTGGTTGTTAGAGCAACAGAGTTTACAAAACGCCAAAGAACTAATTTTTATTTAGATATTTTAAAGTATTTTGTTCCAAAGACATCCCATTGTCTTCATTTTGATTCATGTTATGTTTTCCTACTCTTCCAAATTTCCCCCAAATTAATTCATTGATGTAAGAAGAGGGAGCAAAGATATTTCAATGAAAAACAAAATACTACAGAAAAGATCCTTACAAATTCATTTGAGCAGTTTGAAAGAGAAGAAGATGTAGGATCCTCGCATTGCTCTGTGGGTCCATCCATCTTCTGCATATTCCCAAACTGCACGTCAGTCAGCTTGATGTCTGTAACAAGCAGTTAAAAAATATTATGGCACTTTTATTGGCTTTGAAAATGCAGTGCTAATTTTGTGTGGAGATTGACCCTTATGATGTTGCCCGTGGTAATCACCATGATAGCAAAAGGAAAGAGTGATGAAGAAAGTGTGAATAGCTGGCAAGTGTTTGGTGTTGAAATATTAAAAAAAAACAGGAAATCACTCATTACAGCTTTATACCCTATGCCTACTATAAAAGTGTTAAATCAAAGGACATAAAATAGTGCATGTCAATATTAAACATCAGTGTAGTTTAATATTAAACATCAGTATAGTTTCACAACTTATCTGTGGATCAGTGCCCCATTCTATTGAAACAAATACTATTAAAGGAAAGAAAATCAAACCACAGTGCTTAATAATGTTGTTGTTACTTACTGTTTGACGTGAACTCATTGTAAATTGGAATGCCATTGAAGTCCCCACAAAGCCCACAGGTCTGATTGGCATATTTCTTATCCAGTTCCACCTAAAAAAATGGGGTAAGTGAGTTACACACAGAGTTAAAATTTATAGTGTATTCAATGTTAAGGATGGAATTCACCACTATCCAGAGGTACTACATACATCCCACTTAGGTTTTCAAAATCAGTGGTGAATGGACATGGTGCTGGCCCTCGACACGGGGTGAAATTAAACCTAAATCAATGCAGTAGTTTGGTCAGACAGGTTTTTTTCATTAGGTATGGGTGTTTGGGTGAACAGTATGATGGATTAAACTAAGTCTGGTCTATTTTATAATAATTGATTTCTTATGATCACCGCAGGACTTCAGGATGGGAGTTGTGGCTACTTTGCTTCACTGCAGTCTCCTCCCCTGGTGGACTTCCCACTGCTGAAGTTCTGCACCATTGTTTATGCTACTGAATGCCACAGGGGCTGTGAACATCAAAGCAGTGGTGTAGTTAGTATCTGAGGAAGATTACATTTCACTAAAAAGATCTATTAGTGGCTTGGGGAGAATGGTGATTATAAACTGAGCTCTGAGAAAAGAAAGGAAATTGAAAGCATAATAGGGTAACAAAATGCAATGAAAATGGATAAAAATCCCAAATCACCTAATCTCTGGCTCATAAAAGCCAGAATAGTTTAAAAATAAGTATTCTTTGCAACATCTGGAATGTACACTTACCAGAAGGCCATCCAGTTGGTTCCACATGAAGACCAGGCCCATCTTGGCAGTGATTTTCAAATAGCTGCTACTTCTCCCTATCAGGATTCCTGACTGGCTGAAAGGCAGCTGAATTCTGGAGAGAGATCAAAGTGCAATTAAAGCAGGAGTACAGAATTTGACATCCAGTCTTTGAGACATTTTTAACTCAACTGAATAAGGAATTGGCTAGTAATACGCATTGCTAAATATGAACTGCACACGTTTATAACAATCTTGGAAACCTTCAGTTGGATAATCTCCTATGCAGTTGCTCTCCAAAGTGCTGTGGGGTCAGTGTTATTTTCTGGTGCCATTCCTTTTCAGAACATCTATACATGATGTTTTAGTGTATAAAATGCAGGTCTGTCTGCTATATGCTATAATTCAGACAGTGCTATGCCTGTCTGTTGTTTAACAAGTGCACGTCAAGTGCTCTGCTATTATTATTTTAAAGCCTTAAATAATATAGGACTAGCTTCTCTGGAGGGAATTTGTTCTTTTTTGTTCTTTCTTCATAACTAAGACTAGCACAGTTGAAATGGCAGAGCTGGGATTGTTGGACTTCCCCACATGCAGTCTTAAAGGAACAAGATGAAAGGCTTTCTAGTGTAGAACTGGAATCACTGAGATACTTTCCCCCTTCACATTTACACTTGTGGCATCCTTCAGGAGGGAAGGCTCAGGAGTCTTGTTCTTTTGCTAATATGTACTGTGTCTTTCTTTCTTTCTTTCTTTCTTTCTTTTCTGCTGCAGTGTCTGGCTTCTTGTATTCTTGATCTTGGATTTATTTAGGTATTTTGCTGTATTTGTTTTTATTTTACCTTTATTTTATGGCACCTAGAGGCCTCTAAATTACAACAGTAGAGCGGGGTCTGGAGTGCCCCTGAACTGCATGGCACATAGGTCAGGAGGTAATCTGTAAAGGTGGAATAAAGCTCAGCTCTGTACTCCCCTGTTTCTGCTGCTGCTCTAAGAAGAGCCTATCCCCTTATGCTGTTTTAGAGCAGCCTGAGGGAATGAGACTGAAATAGGCATCCTTTCAAACAGGCCATTGGGACAATATCAATGGTGCCAATTTCATGAGATAATAAGACATCTGAACTTACGGGTTGCCATTGACCACAATGGAGTCTGAGGTCAGTTCAATCACCATTCCGTCAAGCTTCAGGGTGATATGGTTGATCACAGGAGAGCTTTCCAGCATAGTGCGCCTGATCTGGATGTTGAAGTCCTCATAGGCAGATTTGCAGTGGGATGCAAAGACATAGTTGCAGAGCCCGGGGAAGTGAAAGATGTCCCCATCAAAGGTCTTGAAGTGGAAGTTTCCCCAGGTGCTGCACACACGTCCATTGTGAGCAGGGTTGCCAGCTGTGGATTCAAAACAAGTTGTAGGGCTGTACTGAAAATTCCAGTGTAAGTCCCTCTATTCACTCACTGGCTAATTCGTTTACATATTTATCCATCTATCTAAACAACAAACCCATTCTTTGTTTTATCTTCTCATCTAGCTATTTATTTATTTGTGTATGTATCATTCATTCTGTTAACTTTTCTCTTTAGTCTATCCATCTCTTCACTTACCCTACAGTTCTGATCAATTTCTCATAAAGACATGGCATTTGTTTAACTTACGCTTTACAGGCAGCGTCGTTCTCAGTGGTTGGATGATTGTCACTTCTTGTGGTTTAGTTACTGGTACAGAAAAATCTAAGAAAAAGAAATACAATTATCACTAATTCAAAAGGTTCAATAAACAAATTGGCAAACACAGATATGGATCTCCTAGCCTCATTAGTGGTTAAAGGTTTTTACTGCAAGTAATGCTCACTGGAAAATTTCCAAGGGAGTCTATTGATGGCTTAATGCCACTGCATCAAATTTTGGTTTCAAATGTAAACTGTCATTAATAGCCGGATCCTGACAACCCTTCCTCAAGTCAGTAGTCCTTTCTCACACAAGGAGCCCAACTGAATCTGACCCCACCTGCCCAAAGTAGGTATCCGCAAGCTGATACCAATTTAATCCTTCATCTACGATAGGAACTATACAAAAAACCTCAGGCAACACAATGGAGATTAAAGTTATTCACAACCTTTGGCTCCCAGCATATGTAAAAGTGGAAAACTGTAGGAGGGTTTCAATGGTTGGGGTTGAGAAACCACAGCAGAACTTGTTTAGATCTCATATTCTTTTCTTAGCCGGAAGTACATGTATACACACACACTCACATACAGCCAACTTCAGGCAAACAACAAATTCTTGTAGAATTCTGCAAATCCTTAATCACGAATCTAGTGCTTTTTCACACAAGAACTCCCATTTGCAGGATCTGGCCCTAAGTTTGCTGTGTTCATCCCTAGCATTTCTTCTTTGGTTCCAGTATTGAATGGATTTGAGATTCACAGAAGCTGCAATGTAGTTTCTCAACACCTACTTCTGAATCCTCACTACAGTTTTCCACTTGCATGTAGACTGAGAGGCAAAGGTCAAGAATGGTTTTAATGTCCCTTAAAGCTCCTTCTGAGATTTTTTTTAAAGCTCTTGGAGTAAATGAAGGATGATATCTTTATTATCATAAATAAATCATAACATGGCCCACACGGTATCACCCAGTGGTTGCTCCATCTAGACCAATGATTTGTGGTTGAAACAGAGCATCTCTTTTAGAAAGACAACTGGTCTTGATTTAAAGACTTCAAGGGATAGAGAGCCCACCATCTCCATTGATCAGTTGTTACAATGGTTAGTTACACTCAAGGTTAATAGTGTTTGTCATATTTCCAGTTTGAATTTGTCTACCTTCAGCTTCCAGCTGTTGGGTTTGTCAAGGTTGCTAACTTCAGATTAGGTTATGGTTCAGATTTTCAGGCTGATTAGTTAAATTATAGTGTAATAAATTTACTGGAGAAAGGAACAAGGGACATTTTGTTAGAATTTTTATACAACATGGTTTTTGTTCTGACAGCAGTGTTATACCAACAGCCAATACACATCCCTTATCTTATTACATGTAACTAATATGTTCCAACAAGCAGCATAATATATTTTATACACAAATCTGCACTATCTCTGGTGCATGTACTGCAATACTTTTCATTTTCTGCCTTTTCATGAGTGATGCAGTTATCTCAATAGAATGAAAAAGAGTACTTTTTATTACCGATTATCAAATATCTTTGTGATACACATGTACACACACACCTCATAAAATACACCTTGTAAATTTGCAATATGTACCTATTACGTAATTATAGATTAGATAAGTGTGTAGCTTCAATGGGCCAAATCCTCAACTGGTGCAAATCAGTATAGCCCCACTGACTTCAATGGAGTTTCACCAATTTATACCAGCTGAGGATCTGGCCCTACAGTACCAATTCCAGGGAGCTGAACATTGTGTATAGAGAATTGTTCCTCTCCCTTCATTTAAAGGCATAGTACACTTTAATCACTCTATGTCTATTGCAATGAGTTTCTAAGACAAGATTGGCTGAATTTAGATTGTCAAATAAATAAATAAAGTAAAAAAAAACACTTACAGTCTTGTCCCTGCTGGACATAATTATAGTCATCATAATTTGCTTGTTGGTCCTCATATTGGGCTTTGACTGGAGGAAAAAAAAGTTACTTTGGGGGATTGTGCTCATAAATTCGTCAGTAACACCTGGTTGAACAATACAATCTGCAAAAGTAGCATTCTTTTAGGCAGGGAAACTGCATGGTAAGTGTGGTTTGTTATGCTGTGGCAAATACAAACACACACTCACACAGAGGCAAAGGCTGTGAGGGCGAAAATATTTTAAAAGATGAAAATGGAGAATTTTTCTCCTTAGCTACAGTTCAGATCAAAAAAGATCTCTAGGTCTCTTGTGGTATGATGGCTGGTATGTCTTTTTTTTTTTTTTTTCCAGAAGTTGTTATATATAAGTCAATGACAGTGGTATAGAGGGCCTGAACTATGCAGTGACTCTAATGGACTTTGCTTGAGGTGCATAATCATTGCCACCCCCATTCACTCCCACATTCCCTACTCCATACATATCACAACCCCTCCCCCCCGTTATTAATTTATCTTAAAAAACACACACACATTTGAGATTGGGTTTGCAATCTATACATTTTTGTCCTAGGTGTCAGAACTGAGTAGGAGTTCTTAGTCTTCTTCTCTGAGACTGAACCGGTATGCATGTTCATTGGGAAAGGGTAATAGGAAGGCTAATAGTCAGAGAGCTTTTTCCCTATGCTTCCCCTGAGCAACCTGCTAGCTGGTCACTTAATCTCCACCAAACTGTCACCCTCTCCTCCTTCAAATCCAAACATGGACCTGTCTACCAACTATCAGGTCGGCTCCTCAGCAGTGTAAGTTGGTATAGTTCCATAGACTTAAAGGAGATGGCCTGATTGACCCTAGCTGAGAACCTGACCCATATATCGCTCCTTGAGCCAAATTTTTCTTTTGGTTGTAACAAGGAAAATTCTACCGAAATCATTGGGATTATACCAATGAAAACTGAGTGGAGAATTTCTCTCTTTCTTTGCTAGCTACACTGTACCCTCTCTGCCCTTCTAAGCTATTTAGAGCAAAGGCTCCATTTGATTCTTTGTTTTTCTGAATTTGTACAGTTGAACCATCTGCAAAGTCCTATGTACATCTTGGGAACTATAGAAATAATAACAAATAACCAGAGAAGGGTATAGAGAAGACTGTTTTATACTGGAAGAACCCTTTTTAGAGCGAGAGGGCCAACATATAAGCTGTGTTACTGGGAGTAGAATTTGACCCATAATAGCTGGTTTACAACTTCAAACACCAGTAATAATAACTAACATACCCAGAAGCAATGTGGATAGAATTGGGGAGCTGATAGATTTATTTCAGATAATTGATTGGGCCCCCAACTTGTTCAAAATAATAAAAACAATCCCGAAGATATTCCTTTCATTCCTTTGCGCCATCATCTCAAAATATAAAGCTGCACTCAACCCCTGTTTAACAAAAAGCACTGCTTAATGAAAACGCAGAATACTGAGGGCACAATACTGAGGGTAGCTCTTGAGCAGACATGGGGAGCACCTGAGCTAAAGGCAGGCAGCATCCTGTATTCCTTGAGTGTAGAACGACTGCTGGCACCACCACTGAGGCTAGTCATCCCAAATGGGTGAGGCTGACATGGGCTGAGGCGTTGCCATGGCCCCATCTGCACTAGCTGGATGTCTGAGGCTGGCCCTGGAGCAACACACTCTGCACCCTTTGAAAGGGTGTATCATTTGATCCTACTGTGTGCCCTTCCCTAGCTTTCTAGCCCAGGGAATCATTCTGCTTCCCTCTCAGTGCACATTCAGCACAATTTCTATGCCATGCCAAATACCCATGCCCATTGTCAGTGGCTGGTAATGGCACAATTAATCCCTTGGTGTAATAACAAGGTTTAATAAAGGTTAGCGTGGAACTGCATAGGAGTTAGGAAGAAGTAAAAATATTCATTAGGATGTGTGCATCAGATCAAAAAACACTAGATACTAACATTTTCTGAGTTTAGCCATGGAATGAATTAACAAAGGGCACAGTGAATAAAAGATTATACAGAATGTGAATATAAAATATCTTCTTAGACGATAGAAGGCTAGGCCTGTGCACTCTGGATCCTGGTTTCATGAATTCATTAAAAATTATCCTTTGAAAGACAAACTTTGGACTAATCCCTTATGTCACCTTTACCCAAAGTCTCAGTGATAATTATGACTGACATTAATATCAATAGCAGCTTATTTTGCTGATAGGGTGACAGTTAAAAGTTAATGATAAAATCCTAAATGCCTTTACTTAGGGCCCAGTTCTGCTCCCCTTAAGATCAAACCTCTTAGGTTTTACATTAACCTTATGCAGGCAAACTGCCATTCAACCAAAATTCTTATGACATTGGGTAGATTTTAAAAGTGGCTCTAACAGGATGACATTTGGCAGGAATAGTGCCCTTGATTCATATATTTTTTTGCTCCATAAGAGCCTTTGGTTACAACAAGAATCTTGGCACCCATGGTCTCTCGTGTTACACTCTGTACTGGCTCTTTTTGTGTCATCTTTTTCATCACACCCTTTCCCTCCATCACAAGAGGCTTTTCAGCTAAGATGATCTACAGTATTTAAGTCAAGTTTATATTTCAAATGAGTAATGTGCTCGCTCATCACTGTATGTTCTCTATAGCCTATGACTGCTCTGTTACAGCTAAATTAATTGATCACATTTGTTGTCATGTCTATAAAAACAGGCTTCATTTGTTGTTGGAAATTAGGTTTCTATATGATTATTCATAATCATAATATTATTATGAACTTGCCTGGTTCAGAGCATTTGAAAATTGAAAGCAAAAGAGAACTGGTGAGATTGGTATTTATCCAGCCATAAAAACTCAGGGATATATTTCTCTAGGAAATGTTTAAGGAGTGGAAAGCACCAGTTTGTCTATTTTAGCTCTATTTTGTGATATATTAACGAACATAACATTTATACAAATTCTTTGACCAAGAGGTGGAAGTGTGAAGCGTTTTGAATTAATGGAGTGGAACAGCAGCAGAAAAGAAAAAGCTGTGAATTTAAGGTTTAATACTAGAAGGATTGCTATCACAGGGAGCCAATACCAGATATTATGCAAAGCTTGCAGTCTGTGTTATTAACTTGCCATGTTTTTAACAGCCTTCCATGTTCACATTTGAAAAAACAACAACTATTGAAACTGGTAAAAATGACCAGCTAGAATAATTATATGACTAAATTCTACTCTTAGTTATGCCAACGCAACTCCGTTGACCATGGTTTTTCAATTCATCCAACTGCTTTTCCTGGGCTTGAGAGCAATATGAAATCAGTGAAGCAACATTAGTAAGGAGAGGAATAGAAAAAGACATGGAAATCTCATTTACGAACAAAATCTTATTAGTTGCACAAAGCAAAGAGAAACCACTGAAAAGTCTTTCCAACTGCAAAGCAAATTATAAGTTCTCTAAAGTAATAAAAATAAAAAGCAACTATAGCCTCCTACCTTTGTTCTGCATAAAGGTGATCACTAATATTGGTATCCATAGTGGTATTCGTACCCCCCAGCCTATGCCCATCTTGATTGGAGTTCGGTAGGAAGTACCGAACTATAGGCTTCTGAAGAGGCACTTGTCTTTAGACAAGTCTTATATAGCAACAGAATAGGCTTTGGCACAGTTCCCAGATAGTTTCACAAGGTTCTAAAAAGGTGGAGCTTCAGGGATTTTACCTTTCCTCTGCAGGTGCACAGGTAAACAAAGGATGCTCTAGCTTCCTCACGAGCTGGCCAAGTGTATTTGCATTCTGGGAGGAGTGCTATTTTCTAAAAGACTTTTCTACTGAAGGAATTCCAAGTGAGCAGCAATGAGGAACAGTTATGCTCAATCTTACTGTCTTACAGTTATTACAGATCTTGCAATAAATATAAACCAAGAATGACTTTTGGGGAGTCGGGGACGGGATTTAGAATGAGAGAGAGGCAGTTTTTTTATTATCCTGATTACAGCAGATGATTTCAGTCTAATTTTTCAAGTGAGCAAAACACTAACTTCTTCTGATCCAAGCTGTGTGATAAAACTTTTCATGTTTGGGACCCTTGTCTTTTGAGAAGAGATTTTGTGCCTCGGTGTATAAATACTCTGCTTCTGAAGATGAAGAGACCAAGCACACTGAAGGCCAACAGTTATCCACATGCCAGGCACAGGACAGGAATATGCAGTCAAGCTCTTCAGTGCTGGATAGTCAAAAACTAATACCCTCCATAAAAGGAATTCTTATCCTCAGAGGTGCTTCAGTCAGTGTTGGATCAAATCTGTATCCCTTCTAAAGGCTTGTCAACACAGGGAATTATTCTGGAATAGTTATTCTTTATTAACTCTGTGTTGATGCTCTTGTTCCAGAATAACAGTTTAGTTTAATAGTTTAATGTTGGAAATGGATTAACTTTTAAATTAGCAACCTATCTTATTCTGGATTAATTTTAATGTGTAGATAAGACCTAAGTAAACATAGCTAATTGAACAGATATATTTAGGTATATGTCTATCCATACTGAACATATGTATTTCTCTTGCCCCAGATAAAAGACAGTTTATTTTATATAATTTGGTGTACATTTCCTTGTTGCACAAAATAAATGTTTTAGTAGCAATGAATTTAAGAAGGTTCCATTATATTGGGAACAATGTGAATGTGAACAATGAGTTTTTGTAAATAGGTCAGTGTATTTATTTAAAGGTCTATTACTTTTCCAAGTTGTCTTTTTATTGTAGTTTACCTTTCAACAGGTCTAGTATTGTCACAGGTATCCTTTCTAGTGGGCTCTGTTTATATTTGGCGAATTAGATGATCAGCAGTTAGGGGACAAAAGTAAAAGGTTCATATTTTATCCATTTCCAAGGTGATAGAAGGGAGGTGAGACACTGCTTTCCCTGCACACTTTTAAAGTTCACGTGGTTTATTGGTGTTATAATAAATTGACTATAGGTAAATAAACATAGTGTAGTGAAGAAAACAATTGGTCAAATTCTGCCATGAATTACACTCTGTGAAATTCTACTCAGTGGGAGTTATAAATCAATATAGCATTTGGCCTCAAATCAAAGGGTGACAAAAATGACTAAAGATACTTTCAAACAAGAATTGTACAGTCAAAAATCTCAATAAGTGTCATAAATATATATATATATATAAAACAAACACATTATTGAAACAGTTACTCAGTTGCTTAGCTCCAGGGTGAGTCAGGATTTCATGTTCTGGCCCTGTAACTTTCCATATCTTTGTAAATATATGCCGCAGTGGAGACTAGTGAGACAATTTGTTCATGATAAATTAAATCACCAGTATGATCAGCTCATCTATCTAACACTCTACCTTCCAATCATCTCTTAACCTGGAATCTCTTTGTAGAGTGTTGAAGGAAGAAATGTGGAAATTTAAATTCACACAGATTTGGTGGAATTTTATATAGGTATCCAGACTTGTCTAATTGTTGGATATAATAACTCATTGCATA